GCATACACTATACCCATTAAGTAATTTATCATCATCCAGCCCCCTTCCACTCCCCTCCCGAATCTCCCTTGTCTGTCAGTCTACATTCTATGTCCATGGGTGTACATTATTAAGATCCCACTTGTGAGAAAATGTGGTATTTGACTTTCTGTGTCTCAGTTCTTTCAATTAAGATAATGGCCCCTAATTTCATCCATGTTGCTGCAAAAGACATAATTTCATTCTTTTATATGACTGAATGGTATTCCTTGTACATTTTCTTTATCCAATCATTTGCTGATGAACACTTAGGTTGATTCCATATCTTTGCTGTTGTGAATAGTGCTACAATAAATATGAGTGCAGCTATCTTTTTAAAAATAATGATTTATTTCTCTTTGGGTAGATACCCAGTAGAGGGATTGCTGGATTGAATTGTAGTTCTATTTTTAATTCTTTGAGAAATCTCCATACTGTTTTCTATGGAGGTTGTATTTATTTACATTCTCACTAATGGTATATAAGCCTCCCCTTTTCTCTGAATCCTTGCCATCTGTTATTTCTTGTCTTTTTAATAATAACCATTCTGACTGGCTGCTTCTCATTATTTTCAAATTACTCAATTGCTTTCGAGTTCCATTCAAACCTACACTTTCGGCCCAGGTCACCCTGAATGGTGGCTTACAAGATAATTAGGGAAAAAAATGAATGTACCTGGCTTAAGGTAAGAGTTAGGAGAAAATCATGAGTAATTAAATATGATCTTTTCAAAGAAATGAGTGTTGCTGCTGCTATGTTCATTGTTGAGGAAGTATAAGAAAGTGATTCTGATGTAACTTTGCTGGCAAACTTGAGATATTATAAGTGTGTCCACCTCTTTGGACATCTCTTACCTGGAGAACCCATAAAGTACGAGGATATGCTGTAAAAATGTACTGATAATTTTAATAATTGATTTTTAAAAAATATCTTAACTTGATTACAAGCAAATATTTTCCTCCTACATACACAAGTGGCTCAAAATTTATCAGTATTTTCTCTTGGTAATAGCTTCTATTTCTGTATTAAACTAATCATCATATTGATCTGAACTCTTCACTAGAGACTCCTAAAGTTGTGTTTAAACAAAACTAAACAGAGACAAGATCTTTACATTTATAGAATAGATGCCAATGTACTTGTCAGGTTAATTAGAGTAAATAGAAAAATTATGTACACATACACACATTAATGTGGGACTTTTACTTCAATTAATTTTTATGAAGATGATTACTTTTGTGGATATTAAAACATATTTACAAATATAAAAATGGAAAAGGAAAATGTGGTACACACACACACACATACACACAGTGGAATACTATTAAGCCATAAAAGGAAGGAAATCCTGACATTTGCAATAACATGAATGAATCTGAAGGACATTATGCTACACGAAATAAGCCAGACACAGAGAGACACATAATGAATGATTTCACTTATATATGGAATCTAAAATAGTCAAACTCACAGAAGTGGAGGATGTAATGGTGGTTGCCAGGGGCTAGAAAGGGGAGGAGTGGGGGAAATGGGTAGATGTTGGTCAAAGGGTTATAAGTTATAAGATGAACAAGTTTGGGGAATCCAATCTACAGCATGGTGACTATAGTTAACAATACTGTATTGTATACTTAAAATTTGCTAAGAGAATAGATCTTAAATGTCCTCACCACCACCTAACTCCTCCAACAATGGTAACTACATATGGTGCTGAATATGTTTATGAATTTGATTATGCTAATCATTTCACAATGTATACATGTATCAAATCCATCACATTGTACATTCTTGAATATATATAATTTTTTGTCAATTATACCTCAATAAAGCTGGAAAAAATAAAATAGCCACTCTCACTGACAATGCATACAATTTTCTATTTCATCCCACATTTGCTAGCATTAGTTATTAACATTAAAAATAAATCTCTGCTAATCTGAAAAGCAAAAGGGTTTCCACTGTTGTTTGAATTTGTGTGCTGTGTTTGTGAGGTGGAATAGTTTCTCACATACATATGAAAATAAGTTTATTGCATTTCTCTGGTGGGTTGTCTGTGTTCTTGAGCTTTATTAAGTTTTTTATTCCCCTTTATATGATAAAGGTAGTATAAACATGATTCCTTGGTCTGTCATAAGAAATTTGACAACATTTTGATTATAATTTTTTGAATGACATCCAGAACTCTCAATTTACTTATGCTGTCAACTCCGCTCACCATTCCCACAGTGATTTTACTGTAACGTCTAGGTCTTTAATCCTTTAAATGTTTGAGAAAATTAACTCTAAAGACAATTTTTATGGTTTTCCTATCAGTGTTTACTTCACAATCCACCTTGAATTTATTTTTATGTGCTAAGAATTCAAACAAAAAGATTTTCAAAGTTTTACTAATTGTCTAATACCAGTCACTCAATATTTTTCTCTCTTGCTTTCCAATATTTTATGATAAACATTTGACTGACTATTGAGGCTTCATTTTTTTTGGAAGGTTTTCTTGGTCAGTTACGAGTTTTTTTTGTTTGTTTTTGGGACAAAGTCTTGTCCTGTCACCCAGGCTGGAGTGCAATGGCAAGATCTCGGCTCACTGCAACCTCTGCCTCCTGGGTTCAAGTGATTTTCCTGTCTCAGCCTCCCGAGTAGCTGGGATTACAGGCGTGTGCCACCAAGCCCAGCAAATTTTTTTGTATTTTTAGTAGACAAGGGGTTTCACCATGTTGGCCAGGCTGGTCTTGAACTCCTGACCTCAAGTGATTCACCTGCCTCAGCTTACCAAAGTGCCATAATTACAGGCATGAGCAACTGTGCCTGGCCACTTGTGAGTTTTTAAATAAAATATTTGAATTCATATGTAGAGATTATCACATTGATGCTTTTGTGATTCTTGTTCCAGCATATACTATTTTAATTACTATAGCTTTTTATTATGTGTTAATTTTTAAAAAGATATTTTTCATTGTTTTTCTCTAAAATATTTTAATTTTCCACTTTGCTTTTGTTTGTAATAAACATTAGAATAAATTGGTCATGATCTCCCCAAAAACCCAATATGGCAAATATAATTGGAACTATATGAAGCTTGTAACTTTATTTGGAAAAAAATCACGCCTTTAGGACATACAGTTATCTCATCCAAGAAATGGCATGCTTCTCCATGAGCTGAGCATTGATAAATGTTTATAGGTATATTTTTCTAATTTTCTTCCTTGAGACTCCATACATTTCTTATTTGTATAATCCATATGTATATATTTGCTGATATTGTGAGAAGATTTTTACTATATTCTGTTTATAATTAATATGCAGGGAAGCCCTTTTTTTGGTATGTTTATCTGGTTCTCATCGTTTACAGGACTCAGTGCTTCTAATGGATTTTCATGCCTTTGAGTTTTCATTCTACAAGATATATTATTATATCTCCTGCCAAAATGAAACTGTGACAATTTTCTCATTTCTATACTCTTTATTTATTTCATATATTATAGCTCTGGCTAGAACTGAAGAATAATAAGGTGAATGGGAATAGCTATTTTGCTTTGTTTCTGATTTTAAAGTGAGGCATGTAGTGGTTCATAATAAGATTGATTATAATTGAAACATAAACTTCAGTATGCTGGATACTTACTGCTCTTTTTAGAAATTTACGAATGTGCTGAATTTTATCAAATGCCTTTTCCATTTTTATTGCTCTTATGCATTTCATATGGTATTATTGTAAAATACCATCTGCCTGTCAAGTATTTTAAAACATTAAATTTGCTAAATATTACCTAGTGTTAGATGTAGGTCAAAAATGCAGAAACAGTAGAGTAGGAAGTTCATGAGTTTTAGAGTAAATCAGGCTTGGGGTTCATTTGGCTTTGCCATTTATTTTAGATCAGTTATTTGACTTCTCAGAGTTTCACTTTCCTCATCTATAAAATAAAGATAATAATACATATCTCAGTAGAATTGTTGTGAAGATTCAAAGAACTAATCTCTTTAAAACAGCTACTGCAGTGTGTAGCATGTATTATTAGTTGTTCAAAAACTAGTTTGAAAGTTAAATTATATGATTTACAGTTCATTTTCATCTTTGTTAGGTTTTTGCATCAGAGTGGTATTTGGTAAATATCTGGCAAATATTACTCAATGTTTGTCATCTTTTCCAGCTTGTGGGATAGTTTATATAGCATGGTGAATGGCTCCCCCTTCAAAAATTCACTACAAGATATATCTGTATGAAAGATTTTTAAATTTCTTTTTAAAATTTTTGTTTTCCTACACTGGTCTTCTCTGCATAGTATGGAAGATTAAAAAATAATCTTCAACTATTCTTAGTATCATTACTCTGTGACTCACATTTCTAAATAGTATTATTTCCACACCTCACTTATATGGTGCTTTACTTCCTTATATTCTCTATACGCCAGCACTACTTTGACTTACTGTGAAGATATAAACCTTTCAGCCTATTCAAAGTAACCCAATACAACCTCCACTTTGAAGGTATACTTATTTAGTAGGTACTTTCAGAACTAAGTGTTGTTTCCAATTGTTTTCTTAGCTTAATTTTTTCTGGTACTATTTTTCTTATTACTCAGATTTGGGGCTGTATTTTCTCTTCTTTTCTTTTTGAAATAGGGTCTCACTTTGTCACCCAGGCTGGAGTGAAGTGGTGCGATCTCGGCTCACTGCAGCCTCGACCTCTCAGGTTCAAGCAATCCTCCTGCATCAGCCTCCCCAAGTAGCTGGAACTAGAGGTATGCATCAACATGCCCAGCTCATTTTTGTATTTTTTTTTTTTGTATTTATTTTTTTTTAGAGATGGGGTTTCTCCATGGTGCTCAGGCTAGTCTCGAACTACTGAGCTCAAGCTATCTGCCCACCTCAGTCTTCCAAAGTGCTAGGATTATAGGTGCAAGCCATTGCACCCAGCCTTTTTGACTGTATTTTTATGTTTTTATGATTATAAATGACAAAGGTCAACATGGTTTGGAAGTTAATGGACTATGAGTAAATTTATTGGAAGGCAGACTCATAAGCGTGTAAGACTGGTCAAGAAAGTGAATGTCAAGAGAAAGAAGGAGGAGTCAATGGCTGAGGGATGCCTATGGTAGTGAAGAGAACCACTAGGAGAATCAAAATCTTTTTCATCTTTCTGCATTCCTCCATGGTGCTACAACACACTCCAAGGCCTGTGTGGGAGCAGTTTTCCCAGAGGATGGAGGCAAGTTGATTGAGTTTCCTATTTTAAAACAAAATCTAGGGTTTGAGTTTATTTTCTGAAGTCTGGGGAAGTCTTCATCTTGGTACAAGTATTGTGATAGAGGTAGGTGACAGTAAGGACTGAGGGGCAGCTCAGCTTTCTCTTAGGTGGCTGCAATTCTCTTTTGCAGGTGGGACCAGGAGTACAGCTCTGGGGGACGTTTCCCATTTGCCTTTTTCCTTCTCTTTCCCTGTCTTCCCCTTCCTACCTCCTTTCTCCCAAAATAGTGAGTTGTGGCATTACCAGTCCAGGTATCAGCTCTCTGTTAATCTTCCAGTTCTTGCATTTCTTATTCCAGCCATGAGAAAGAAGGCTAGCACTTTCATTGTGAACCAATGTCATTATGCTGTTTCTCCACATCCACGAAGTTAATGCCTACGGCTTTTCAAATGTTGAGAAAAGAATTAGCCAGGCTACCCTAAGTACCAGGACATAATTATGTGGTGGCGAGTACTAGGTCCAACAGTTACTGTCTGATTCAGTGAAAGAAAAAACTTTTTTTATTACACATATTGTAAAGAAGATGGAACCAGAATGAAGGAGTCTCCTTTATTGTAAGGGTTCTCCCATGTGGTGCCCGTGGCACAGATGAAAGATCATGAGTCCTCTCTATGAATCCCTTGGCCACCTCATAAAATGGTACTATCCAGCAAAATATTATTTAGTAGCAAAATATATTTTAATTGAAAAATCATTTTAAGTAACTGAATAAAAACGTGTACCAGGAACTTTCCCAATAGACAGCAGAATATGTACATTTTGTGAGGGTAGAGCAGCATCTCTTTAATATAATTTTTATATAGAAAATACAGGCATATTTAAAAATGGAAAACACGTAAGAAAGTATGTCACAAGGAATAACAAAATATATCACAAAATTAAAAAAGTAACCCCAAGTAACAAGTTTACTAAACAAGACCCAGCACCATGTTGGACTTTCTTTGCATAAGTTCCAGGATGCCCAGGAACTACCAAGGAGAGATGATCCTGCTTTTGGGAGAGCCAGCTGGTCGTGCAGTGGTTAAAACCCAGTCCTCCTTTTCCTGGAAAAAAAAAAAAAGCAACCAAATAGATTCTAAAGAAGAAATTGAACTGAAGAGCTAACATCTCTTTAGGGGTTGATGAAAACAGGATTGAAAGTCCCAGATACCTGGGCATTATCTGTGATGTTTATAGGGATGGGGGTCATTCTTTGAGATAACTAAGAGGCATGCAGTGCTAACTTATGGAAAGATCTGAGAAGCATCAGACCTGAGTTTTAGTCTTGATTCTGCCACTAGTTTTCTATCTTACAATTCTCTCTTCTGTAAAATGAGAGGTTTGGACATAATGAACTTAAAGTTCTCTTAGTCCACTAAGAATCTATGGTTTTTAGTTATCGTATTTGCTTAGGATCAGTTTTCTGAAGATGTGCACAGAGGTCAGAGGAAACACAATTTCCTTCTGAACCACTGAATTATCTGGGAAAAAGGTCAGGTCAGTCTTATTTATCAGTACAGAAGGTTAAACATTGAGGGATTTAATGGATGCCATAAGGCATTTCTCTACCAGCTGACAATCATGCCAGGAAATTGCTCCATCTGTTAACAAGCCTTTACTGAGCAGTGATTTTTGTGCCTGTAGAAGGCACTAGGCATGTGTTTTTGTTTTTTAAAACAAGATCTTACTCTGTTGCCCAGGCTGGAGTGCAGTGGCACAGTCTTGGCTCACTGCAACCTCCACCTCCTGGGTTTAAGCAATCCTCCCACCTCAGCCTCCTGAGTTAGCTGAGACTACAGGCGTATGCCACCATGCCTGGCTAATTTTTCTGGGTATTTTTTATAGAGACGGGCTCTTCCTTTGTTGCTCAGGCTGGTCTTGAACTCCTGGATCCAAGTGATCTGCTTGCCTTGGCTTCCCAAATTGCTGGGATTACAGGTGTGAGCCATCACAGTCGGCCCAGCATACAAATTTTAAGGCACTCAGTCTCATAGGAGAGAAGGAAAAAATTATACGGTAACATTTATTGTTTCTTTCTCAGAAAAGCATTCTCCCCCTCCCACTCTCCTTTCTTCTGGGAATTGCCAGACTCTCTTCCCTTTTACCCAGTTCTTTGACAAAATTACCCTTTATGTTGGTACAACATAATCCAACCTAGGACAGTTCATTGATTCATGCTTGGCCACTGAATCAGTCTGGACCAACCAGAGTCCTGGATTTTTAAACTGGGACAGTGTACTATGTCTCTGGATACTGTATGGTGACATGTAAAAAATTCTGTAAGAAATTTTGTCCTGGCCGGGCATGGTGGCTCATGCCTGTGATCCCAGCATTTTGGGAGGCCAAGGTGGGTAAATCACCCGAGGTCAGGAGTTCAAGACCAGCCTGGCCAACATAGTGAAATCCCATCTCTACTAAAAATACAAAAATTAGCTGGGTGTGGTGGCGCATGCCTGTAGTCCCAGCTACTCAGGAGGCTGAGACAGAATTGCTTGAACCCAGGAGGAGGAGGTTGCAGTAAGCCGAGATTGCACACTGCACTCCAGCCTGGGCATCCGAGTGAGACTCTGTCTTTAGGAAAAAAAAAAAAAAGAGAAATTCTGTCCTTCCCTTCCATGTGAACCAAACAGAAGAAAACCACTCTGCAGCAAGACAGAGGATGGAGCAGACCCTGGAGGAGGTGGTGACATGGGAGGTGGAGAGGCACACTTGGCTTTCACGTCCCTAGTCTGGTCCTCCTGATGCTCAACCACTCCTTTGTCTTTGGGTTCCATACAAGGTCCCTCTATTGTGATGACAAATCCTCTTCTTTGCTTAAACTGGTTAGAGTTTTAACAAGGATTACAGTATACAGAGGAGGAACCTGCCTGGTCCTCTGGGTTGCTAGTTAGCCTTCCCTTGAATGTGGGCTACACCTCTCAGCTTAATTTGCCATTATTTTTCTTGGATGCCTACATCAAACTTTTGCATAAAAATCTAGATCTTGTTTTTCTTATTAATGTACAATATTTTCATACAAGCTAATAATTATCCTTTCCTCAATCAAGAAAGAACTCCTATGGACAGGTTTTAAATCACGCAAACTCTCTCTGGACTTCCTTTTCTTTATCTCAGAAATGAAGAGGTTAAAATATAAAATCTAATATTTATAAGAAAGTGCTAAATACTTTTTTTGAGTCACTGTTTTTTTTTCTCTTTTATTTCCTCTTTATTTGGCTCTCATTTTCTTAAATTCAACTCTGCTGTCAGGTAAAGGTATAATCTTGGCAGCTTCTTAATATATTTGTCCATTTCAAATTTACTGTTTAGGGTTCAGTTTATTTTTTCTCTTTTTGCAGAGATGGCATACACTTGAGATGATGTGAGGAAATTCACTGGCATTACTGTAATTGCTTTTTTTATATTTGCAAGTTGACTTTGACATTCCAATCAAAATAACAAACCAGGAAATGAAAAATAAAAGTTGTTTTCAGTTAACTGAATTTTTCTCACTTTAAAAAATGAATATGGAAATACACATTTGTTTTTAATGAGTCCTATATGATGGGGGTAAGTACAAATCTAATAATACAAATCTAAGTGCAGGGATGTATATTGAAAGTCTTAAAACATAGCTGATAATATTTCAACATTGCAACATTGGTGAGGACAATGTTTGAATGTTGAAAATATTTTATCTATGGTATGGCATAATATGGCTGATGATTTTACTGATGTTTAAATATATATAAATGATCTTTTAACTATTTTTCCCTTTGACTTATTTTTGTGATAGTATTTTTAAACTATAATATGTATCTCGTCAGAAATGAGAAACCAATGAAAAAACATATTTTTACATAATCATTTTGTAGTCAATGAAATGCTACGTATATAAACACTAAAATATAAAACAAAAATATTTTACTTTAAAATAAACATTTCCTATCAATTCAATATGATTTTTATTGTAATGAAGAACTTAAACATCCATTGGGTCATTTTCAATAAAATATATTGTCTATTTATTTTACATCCTTGCATCTGTAGGATGCAATCTTCTGTTCAAGAAGATGATTTATTTATTTATATAACCCATTTTTTCTTTTTTTTTAATTGCAAAAAATGTGGAATGCTTCAAAAATTTGTGTGTCATCCTCTAGCATGGGTCATACTAATCCTCTCTATGAAGTTCCAGTTTTAGAATATGTGCTGCTGAAGTCAGCACAAGACTGCTTAAGTTTGAGACATTCTTGTTTTATTTGTCAATCCTGAACTAATATTTCTTAGCTTTGGTTTTAGTTCAAATTTAGAGAGCATGTCTCAAAATGGATATTTTCACATACAAAATACTTACAGTCAAACTAGATAGAGATAACTTCTGGCTCTTATGACAATTTACTTGAATTTTAGAGTCTTCATGTTACAGGTGAACATTAGTTTTTGGTTATCTTACCTGGAGCAGTTATGTCCCGTCCAAGAAGAAAGACAATGACATCGGTTTGGTCTTACACATTTTCCACCATTTAAGCAGGGAGACTGGCAAACAGCTGGAATAAAAAGCCCACACATTTATTTAATACTTAGCAATCCTGACAATATCCATAAAGGCACATAGGATAAGATTTGCCTCTGCTGGTCTTCATATACCTTTAGCATTATCCATTTCTGCTGCTCTGCTTGACTTCACATCCTTATGTGGTACTACCTCCCTTTTTCCTTCCAAGCTGGTCAGTTTTTCACATTTAAGTCCCAGATTAAGTTCTATATACTTATTGAAGGCTTTGCTGATCACTCCAAGTCCACTGATTTTCCTCTTCTCTAATCTTTTTTTATTTATGCCACCAATCTGACACTTTGAGCATTTTGAAGTATAAATTTTGTGTGTTCAATTAGCTTATACATTTCTTCCTTTTTTTAAAATTTCTTGCCACTGACTTGAAGCTCAAGACTGTAAATTCCTCAAGGGAGTTAGCATTGAACTCTATGATTGACTGGGTGATTAAGTCAGACGTCAACTTTTATGACAATAAATTAGGCACAAGGATTGTCTAAAATAACAGATGATTCAACATCCCTTTGTGTTTGGCAAGGAGACACATTTCACGGTGTCAGCTTTAACTGGAATTACAGAAACTGGTTAGCCACAGATAAAACCCTGAGAGGACACCGAAAGATTTACTATCTAGGTGCCTTTCTCACAAATCCATAATCTCATAACCAAACTCTTCGTCTGCATACCTTTGTTAAAAAACCTGAAGATGCTGAAAATTCATCATGACCTAATATCAGCAAGTGTAACATATCAAAGAGAAAGGAGAACTCCTTGTAGGAAGGAAATAAAATGTCTGTTGGGAGAAAGCTGGAAATAAGAACCATTCCAATCTCTGTAGCACAGAAAGGCAGGCTCTTTCCTGGATGAAAAACTCCTTTTTGGTGAAATATAAGTAAATGTCATTTCTTCAGTCATTCATTCATAAAATATGGAGAAAATGTCTGCTAAGCAAGTAGCAGGCACTTGATAAGCACTGGTCCTTGTCCAGACAGAACAAGAGAGAGGACAAGAAGTAAAATACGCCTTTCCCCTTGGGGAGCTCTCTTGGTAAGATTAAGAGCTGGCCAGCAGAATGCACTTATTAGCAATCTCATGGGAAAGAAAATTATGAAACAAAGCAGGATTAAAACAAGCAAAAATAAAACTCAGTAACTGAAAACAAACTCTCCATAGTTTCTGCTTGCTGATATAAGAACACATTATTCTTTTTCAGGACTATGCTGATTTAGCAGTGCCTGACTGCACTAACGAACTAGTCGTTACTTTTACTTCTTTGTCTAAAAACTTAATCCTCCTTCCCTATCACATCGGTGGTCCCAGTGTTCATTCAGGGCCACCTTTTCATGTTGTGTGTCTTCTGCAGTCTTATTTTTCCCCCCATGAGTATCTTTCAATGATGACTTATAAATCTCTATCTTCATCTAAATGAATTTTCTGAGAACCTAAACTATCATCCAACTGCCTATCACTCCCCTTGTATGTTTCACAGTCCCCTCAAACTCAGTGTGTCCATACTTAACTCCTTATGGCTTCTCCTGGCTTCTCCATCCCAGTAAATGGCATCACCTTCCACTCCAATGCCCAAGCTGGAAACAGCTTTTACTCTTCCAAGTAGTTTTGATTCTACCCCTCACAATAGATCTGTAACCAAGTAGCATTGATTCTTACTCTTTACTGTCTCTCAAATCTGCTCTTTTGTGGTTGTTTCTCCTGACTTCATTAATTCTTGCCAATTCTGCTTTTACAACCCCCTCAACGAATCTCTCTATTGTAAGTCTTGCTTTCTTCCACTTTTCATACTGCTGCCAAAATCAGTTTTCTAAAAGAAAATCCGATCACATGATTTTCCTGCTTAAGATCCTTCAGTGGCTTCTGTTGCTCTCAACACATAATTCAGCATCTTGCACTTGGCATGCGATGCGTTTCCTGATCTGGTGCTGCCCATCTTTAGAGCTTCATTCCAGCCACTCCCCTGCATTTCCTCTATGGCTTTGGTTATCCTTTGCTGAACACACCTGTGTATTTTGTGATTCATGCTTTTAGCTGCCACGATTTTCTTCTGGTGACTCCTTTTGTTTCTCCTCAGATTCTATGCTTGCGAAGCTTTTTCTGAACTTTGACATTTGGTTAGTTTACCCATTTTCACTGTTGTCATAGCCCATATTATAGATTTTGATTAGCCTCTATCTTAACATATCCTAGTTATCTATTTACAGGCCATTCCGTATCCCTTCCCCTTTCCTAGATTGAAATTCTGGAGAGCAGGAGCCCCTGTTTTATATGCTTATGATATGCTTAGTACTTAGGGGTATAAATAGGATCTATGCTGAGGTAGCTGCTGTAAGATTTGGAAAAACAAAGACCATAGTCAGTGTCATTAAGGAGCATATTCTTATTAGAGAGCTAAGGTGTAAAAGAAAGCCACATAAATCAGATCCATTTATTAGCTTTAAACTGCATGATTATAACTAGTTGTGTAACATTTATAGAAATGGAATGTTAGAAAGTAGATTATTGTGATATTGAACAAGTTTTGAGATCAGAGGAAACTTAGGCAGGACTTGGGGGTTGAGTGAGGCTAGAATAGGTGGAGGAAAGAGGCAGATCATGTGCACATGTAAGGAGACTGGGGAGAACAGGCTGCTTGCAGGGGTAGTGAGAAAACTGTCATTGCAGAGCACAGTGTATAATGGTAGGATAAGAAGTGAGTTGTGCTTCAGGTGTGCTGAAGCTGGCTTATGCAGTACCTTGGAAGTCAAAAGAATTCAGGGTGGATGTGGAGACTAAAATAGAGAACCATTTTAGGCTCTTAAACCAGGGCAAAGACATGCCAAAGTAGTACACTGATGATGTTCAGTCTGGAGGGACACGGTGACGAGAAGGTCAACTGGGCCATAATCCAGGATCTTTTACTGGCTGGTGACAGTGGTGTGGAGTAGAATGAGGGATGCTGAGCAGGAGTGAACAAAAATAGTGATGGTGCTGTAACCTCAGATGAAAGGGAGGGTGAGTCAAGAGTAATTCATTCATTACTTGCACCAGTAAGGTACCCGGAAAAAAGCAAAGCTTGTTTATAGATGAGCAGGAGAAACGTGGGTAAATACCAAAGTTGATTTGTTATAAACAAACACTGTATAGACTGCTTTCAGAGTCTCAAATAAGGCCTTCAAATTCAGCCTCAGAACATTTTTCCTTCTCTACCTTCATGAATGGCTCAATTTTGGCTTTAAGTGGGTTGATGACTGCCTGTCTGCTTTTGTCTATAACGGTACTTTTCAGTCTCATTTTTCTGGTTTACTTATTAATAGTGCCTCTTTTACTTTCAAAAATGTCCTGGTTTAGACGCTAAGTTATATGGTCTTCCCAGTCTTAGGGTTCATGACAAGCTCTGGTGTCAGGAAGCCCTGTCTATACTTTACATGCCATTTACATTTTACTCCACTGAGGAAGTGGCATAAACATTGTTTATAGGCAGAATAGTGGTATGTCAGAATTAATACTTAATAAATATAGCAAGTCCTATTTTTTAAATGGTGGCTTAAAATTTTAGGACATTAGAAAGATAGTTTGTCATTTTAAATTGAGTTATTTGATATTTACTAAAAATACCTACTATATTTGGGCACTATGCTAAGCACTGGGGATATAAAGGTGATAAAATCCTTGCCCTTAGGTGGTGTATAATCTAGTGGGGGAAGGGATAGATAATCAAGCAAATGAACAGATGTCAAAGTAAGTGGGCCAAATGCTGTATTTGAGGTCTGCAAGAGGTGCTAAGAGAATGTTTGTTACGAATCAATCAACTATCATTTGTTACTGTTGTCCATGATAAGAAACCATCTCTGATGAGTTTTGTAATTTTTTTCCTTTTTTCTTTAAACTTTTTTTTAACTTTTAGGTTCAAGGTCTGTTGTATAAGTACACTTGTGTCACGGGAGTTTGCTGTACAGATTATTTCATCACTCAGGTACTAAGCCTAGTTCCCAATAGTTATTTTTTTCTGATCCTCTCCTTCCTCCCACCCTCTACCCTCAAGTAGGCTTCAGTGTCTATTGTTCCTCTCTCTGTGTTCATATGTTCTGATCATTTAGCTCCCACCATTTAGCTCCCACTTATAAGTGAGAACGTGTGGTATTTGGTTTTCTGTTCCTGCGTTAGTTTTCTAAGGATGATGGCCTCCAGCTCCATCCATATCCCATGATCTCGTTCTTTTTTATGGCTGCAGGGCTGTTACTAAAAAGTAAAAAAATAGACTGGATGCAGTGGCTCATGCCTGTAATCTCAACACTTTGGGAGGTCAAGGTGGGTGGATCACTTGAGGTCAGGAGTTCAAGATCAGCCTGGCCAACGTGATTAAACTCTGTCTCTACTAAAAATAGAAAAATTAGCAGGGTGTGACAGAAGGTGCCTGTAATCCCATCTACTTGGGAGGCTGAGGCAGGAGAATCACTTGAACCTGGGAGGTGGAGGTTTCAGTGAGTCAAGATCACGCCACCGCACTCCAGCCTGGGTGACCAGAGTGAAACTCTGTCTCGAAAAACCACAAAACAAAACAAAACAAAACAAAACAAAACAGATGCTGGCGAGGTTGTGGAGAAAAGGGAACACTTATACACTGTTGGTAAGAGTATAAATTAGTTCAACCATTGAGGAAAGCAGTATGGCGATTCCTCAAAGACCTAAAAACAGAACTACCATTCAACCCAGCAATCCCATTACTGGGTATATACCCAAGGGAATAGAAATCATTCTATCATAAAGACACATGCATGTGTATTGCAGCACCATGCACAATAGCAAAGACATGGAATCAATCTAAATACTCATCAATGGTAGACTGGATAAAGTGATTTTTAAAAAATTTTTAACTTAAATTGTATTTATGTATAACCTTGTTCTTTCTAAAGAGTAAGCATGAATTTAGTAATTTAGCTTCTCAGAGATTAAAATAAATATTCTGAACCTCTGTGTAATGTCTTCTCTATGCTCTGCAAAATGAAGCAGATGACATAAAGAAGAGAGATAATTGAGTCGACTTAGATGCTATTCTTTGGCACATGACTGGCAAACATGTTTAGGCAACCATAAAATTCAGTGTTGAGACACCAATTGAGGGATCATCTTGAGGAATTTTTGAGAAACATCAGTACTTTTTCACTTTATCACCACTTCTGAGTCTGAGTCATACTCTTTAATGTCCTCTGGAGTTTCATGGGATTGAGCCACCAAGAAAACAAACCATGAAAGAGGCCTACCTATATGACAGCGAGACCCCGTCCAGCCAGGCGGGCAGTCACACTGGTAAGGGGCCACACAGCGACCTCCGTTCAGACAGGGAAGAATGCAGATTGCTAAAAAAAAAAAAAAAAAAAGGGAGCGGGGGTTGAAATGGCATTGATCAAAATACACACCTCAGATAGGTTCAAGAGTTCAGAAAACATTTTGCAGGAGTGAAACCTTGTATGACTCACTAAATAACTTTCCTGCATGTGCTCTGCTTATTAATGAGTATCACTGGGAAAACACAATCAGGAAAGTAAGCCTGGATTCTTAGCCAGATATAATGACTCTAAGGCCAAATCCTCTTTCAGTGAAGACACTCGGTAATCAGTGTCTGCAAAGTGCTTTGCTTTAACTCTTCACAAAATAAGCAGAACGGTCTCCATTTATTATAGTTTCAAATTTCCATTACAAATTACACAAAATGTTCTAAGAGGATTTGGCTGCCTTGAGGCTCTCTTCCTGTCTTGAACTAAATGTGAGAATGGGAATCAGATGGGCTATAACATAGGGTTGGAGTTTGCAACATTTTGGTAGCAATGGGACAACACACCCTTGATTTCCGAGAAGCTGAAGCCTGATGGTGACTGAATGATGCCTCCCCTACACTGTCCGTGACTATCATTCCTCCTCCTAGAAACAATTGAAATCTTTAAAGAGGCATAGTCTGTTTAAAAGATGTGAGATTGTTGCCTTGCTCCTCAAAATCAAGTTCCCTAACCAATAGTCTTGGCATCACCTAGGAGTTGGTTAGCAACGCAGATGTCAGGTACCAACCTAGATCTGCTGATCTCCCAGATGATCTGTATGCACAGCAAAGCTTGGGAAGCCCTGGTGTAATGAAGGAGGGCAGGCATACGCTCAGTGAGCCAGGCCAGCTAAGCCAGCCAAGCCAGGCCTGTCATGAGGTACCCCAAAGTCAAAGCTCACTAAGTCTTTGGACTCTTGACACAAGAACAGGTTAAGTCTGTGAACTCTAGGTGAAATGGAATGATTGGGGTGAGCTGGAAGAGAAAAGTGTGTTTTCTCTTCTTTTTTAATCACTTCAGAATACTTGGTGAGTTGTTAGCAGCCTAAATTTATTTCCATCATACATTTTCCTTTATAGATCAGTTGAAAAAGTCACACTTAAAACATTTTAGTCTCTTACAAAATTTCTGCCCTTTAGGAAAAACTGGTATAGACCAATGGCCATCACATGAATCACTCTTAATGGTTTATATACACTGCTCCCATTGAAATATGAAACCATTTTATCCTTATATATATTTTAAGATATTGAAATAAAGTGTACTTGAGATATTTAAAAAATTTAACATCATTATCTATACCTCCCTGGAATTTCAAATTCAAATGTGTTTCTATAAGGATCAAAATTCTATATTAATTTACCAAGTATGGATATAGGAGTGCCAGCTTTCCTTATTTTCTTAATTAGTATAAACCATTCTTAACAACAAAGAGGAAATGGTGAACTGCAAATATTACCTGCAAAGTACATGTTTTGCAGTGGTGCCCGTTTACACCAACTGTAGCAATGACTGACATAGCACATAGTAGACCCTGAGTTAAGGGAAGAGGATGGCTTGGAGACTTTACAACAAGCTCCTTCTCAAGAAGACTCTTGCAAATTTGTGCCAGGGAGCATGTGAAGATGACTTTAGATGGATCTTAATAACAGTATTTTCAAAGTCATGAATATTTTAGATCTTCTGCAACCTATTGACACATATGTGCACTGTTTGGTGTGGACAAGGACTTACAGCAAATGAATTCTTCCCAACACTACAACCATTTCCTGATAACTCCCCTCAGGTGGGAGCATCCAGGCAATTTGTCAGGACACAAAGCTCTGAAGAGCAACTCACGTTCTTCACAGAGGCGCCCCATCCAGCCCTCTGGACAGGAACAAGCATTTGGGCGTTGGCAGATGCCCCCATTCTGACATGGGAATCGACAGACGGCTGGAAAAGAAGCAGAATGGGTCACAAATGTAGGGAATTATGGAAGGGAAGGAGTCAGAAAATAGGATTCCTCCTTTATATTTCATACTATTTCCTTGAGTCAAGCTTTCAGGAAGAGAAACAAAAATCGAATCTCAAGAGGAAATTTCAGTATGTGGAGAAATACAGCATTATATTGGCTGCTATTATTGCAGTTTTCCCTGTAGCTTTATTAAGGTACAACAAATAAAAATTGTATATATTTAAGGTTTACGACCTGATGTTTTGATTTATGTATAAATTGTGAAATAATCACAAGTGAGCTAATTAGCACATGCATCCCCTCACAGTTACTGTTTTCTATCTTTTTTTGTGGTGAGAACACAAGATCTTTCCTTTCAGCAAATTTTCAATATACAATACAGTATTGTTAACTACAGTCACATTGCTGGATGTTAGAACTCTAGAACTTATTCATCTTGCATAACTGAAACTTTGATACTTTGACTAACATCTCCCTATCCTTACCCTCCTCCCAGCTCCTGGGAACCACCATCTATTCTCTGCTTCTTTGAGGTGGACTATTTTAGATTGTACCTATCAGCAAAATCGGGCGGTGTATGTCATTCTGAGTCTGGCTTATTTTATGTAGCATGATGTCCTCCAGGTTAATCTATGTGTTGTAAATGGCAGAATTTTCTTCTTTTATAAAGCTGAATAATATTTCATTGTGTCTACCTATTTTTATCTACATGTCTATCTAATCTATCTTCTTATCATCTTCTATCAGCACACACTTTTTTTAATCCATTTATCTGTCAACAGACATTTATGTTGTTTCAATATCACACACAACACTCATTCTGACTTTAGAATTTAATTGAAGTCTGGGATATTCCTTTAAGATGTCCCCCCTCAACAACTCTCTCAAAAGGCTTTACATTCTCTTACATCCCATGTATCGATGATCTCACTTCTTATTGTTGCTGTCAGACAATGAATCCTCTTTCTCGTGCGATAGCCCCTGTTTCTTTTGAGGCTCATGCCATTCATCCATTGACTTCCTCAATATTTCTTGCCTCACCAGTTATTAAAGTCCAAATCTGAACACTGTTTATGTGGTCAACTCATCCAACAACTCAATTATTCTTGTAGTTCCTTGGTTATATCTGTGTATACTAGCGTACTTCTTGACTTTTAGCAAATATTTGTAGAATGAATGAAATTATTATGATGTATAAAAACTATTTTATTAGAAAAGTGTAAGTTTTAGAAGGACATAATACTAGGGTGCCTCATTACCTCTTTCTGTTTTGCAGAATTTCAAGCACAGAACCTCAGAGTTCTGTGTGCTTTTAAAACTCAAACCATAACATTAAAAGAAAATGACACAGCTGCTAAAAGAAATTTTAAAGCCAAGGAAAAATAAAGCAGCATACATATTAATTGTTGGACAAATCAGATTTCTATACACATTTCCCCGCAATTTCACTAAGAAATAACCATGCAAATATTTCCTTACCTCTGCAAATAGGAGGTGATGTCCATGTTCCATTTTCTAAACAAACACTCCTTAGGGAACCCTCCAACATGTATCCACTGTAACATGAGTAGGTGATCATGTCTCCGTATTGATAATGTACGCCTCGAGCAATTGCATTTTCTACGTGAGCTGGTGGACCACACGAGATTTCTACAGGAAAACAAAACAACAATTAAGCTTGTGCTATTAACACAGACTGAGAACACAGTCTCATCTTGCAGAATGAATTAAAGAGCAAAAATAAAATACATAAGGGAAACATTTTCACCTACTTCTCTAGAATAGTAAGAACTAAATAATTAACTGCTGCTGTTGAGAAAAATTAGACATACAAAGATAAAAGGTTTTTTGTCTTCTGATTCAAATGTTGAAGGACAGTCTATTTTAAACCTAAGGAAAGCAGTCTGTAGGACACCAAGAATTAGCTCTTGTACCTTGTCAGATAACTGGCTGCAAGAGACTTTCAAAACAGGATGCTTGTTAAATGAGGAGAGAAAGCATGATGATTGTAGTCTACTGTTTCAGAGTAAAGATCACTAATTGTAGTACTGCATATTGTATCAGGGCTATTTTGTTAATGCCTAGAACAGTGCCTAGCATGCAACATGCTCTTGAAAATGAGTCAATGAATGAATATTGTCTCTAGTCTATAGATGCTCAATGAATACAACTTGATCCGGTTTATGAAATTCAAGGTTTCATGTTACTTTTCCTCTTTTCAATACTGTAAAAGAGTGACTTTCGGCTGGGCGCAGTGGCTCAAGCCTGTAATCCCAGCACTTTGGGAGGCCGAGACGGGCGGATTACGAGGTCAGGAGATCGAGACCATCCTGGCTAACACGGTGAAACCCTGTCTCTACTAAAAAATACAAAAAACTAGCCGGGCGAGGTGGCGGGCACCTGTAGTCCCAGCTACTCCGGAGGCTGAGGCAGGAGAATGGCATAAACCCGGGAGGCGGAGCTTACAGTGAGCTGAGATCCGGCCACTACACTCCAGCCTGGGCGACAGAGCGAGACTCTGTCTCAAAAAAAAAAAAAAAAAAAGAGTGACTTTCTGCTTTTGGAATCTGTGTTAGATTGGATGATAATCCTCTCTTTTTGAAAGGGACATGTGATATATATTTAAATAGAAATTTTTATAACTGATACTGTTTTGAGAATTTTACAAGAAGCCTTAAGATAATTAGAATTATTCCATGGTGGGGCACAAGGCAAGGGCTAGATTGGTGTCAGGATTCTAATCAGAATCTAGTTTGTTCAACTTTTGAATGAAGAGTCCTTATAAGCTGGCTTCTAAAAGGTCACTTGGTTGTCATAATACTACCAAAAACTTGTTAGGGGAGATAATGAATTTGTATGATTTTTCTAAAATTTTTTCCCCTCTAAGGTGGACAAAATACCTACTATGCAACAGAAATCGGAAGGAAATAAATGAATTATGTTTACTGATTTGCATATGTTGAACCAGCCTTGCATCCAGGGGAAGAAGGCAACTTGATTTTTTTTTTTTTTTGACGTGCTGCTGGATTTGGTTCTCCAGTATTTTATTGAGGATTTTTGTATTGATGTTCATCGGGGAAATTGGCCTAAAGTTTTTTTTCTTGTATTTCTGCCAGGTTTTGGTATCAGGACGATGCTGGCCTCATAAAATGAGTTAGGCAGGAGTCCCTCCTTTTCAATTGTTTGGAATAGTTTCTGAAGGAATGGTAGCAGCTACTCTTTGTACCACTGGGAGAATTCAGCTGTAAATCTGTCTGGTCCTTGGCTTCTTTCGGTTCGTAGGCTATTTAGTACTGCGTCAATTTCAGAACTGGTTATTGGCCTATTCAGGAATTCAACTTTTTCCTGCTTCAGTCTTGCAAGGGTGCATATGTCCAGGAATTTATCCATTTCTTCTAGATTTTCTAGTTTATGTGCATAGACGTATTTATACTATTCTCTGATGGTTGTTTGTATTTCTGTGGTGTCAGTGGTGATATCCCCTTTATCATTTTTTATTGTGTTTATTTGATTCTTCTCTCTTATTAGTCTAGCTAGCGGTCTATTTTATTAGTTTTTTCAAAAAAGCAGCTCCTTGATTAATTCATTGTTTTGAAGGGTTTTTCGTGTCTGTATCTCCTTCAGTTCTGCTCTGATCTTGGTTATTTCTTGTCTTCTGCTAGCTTTAGGGTTTGCTCTTGATTCTCTAGTTCTTTTAGTTGTGATGTTAGGGTGTCAATTTGAGATCTTTCTACCTTTTTGATGTAGGCATTTAGTGCTATAAATTTCCCTTTTAACACTGCTTTAACTGTGTCCCAGAGATTCTGGTACATTGTCTCATTGTTCTCATTGCTTTCAAAGAACTTGATTTCTTCCTTAATTTCATTATGTACCCAGGAGTCATTCAGAAGCAGACTGTTCAATTTCCACGTAGTTGTGTGGTTTTGAGTTTCTTAATCCTGAGTTCAAATTTGATTGAGCTGTGGTCTGAGAGAATGTTACGATTTCAGTTGTTTTGCCTTTGCTGAGGAGTGTTTTACTTCCAATTATGTGATAAATTTTAGAGTAAGTGCTGTGTAGCAATGAGAAGAATGTATATTCTGTTGTTTGGGGGTGGAGAGTTCTGTAGATGTCTATCAAGACCACTTGATCCAGAGCTGAGTTCAAGTCCTGAATATCCATGTTAATTTTCTGTCTGGATGATCTAATATTGACAGTGGGGTGTTAAAGTCTCCCACTATTATTGTGTAAATGTCAAAGTCTATTTGTAGGTCTCTAAGAACTTGATTTATGAATTTGGGTGCTCCTGTACTGGGTGCATATATATTTAGGATAGTTAGTTCTTCTTGTTGAACACTTTACCATTATGAAATGCCCTTCTTTGTCTTTTTTGATCTTTGCTGGTTTAAAGTCTGTTTTGTCAGAAACTAGAATTACAACCCCTGTTTTTTTCTGCTTTTCATATGCTTGGCATTTTGTGTCTTTCAACTACATTTAAGGTTAGCATTGTTATGTGTGAATTTGATCCTGTCATCATGATGCTAGGTGGTTATTTTGCAGACTTGTTAATGTAGTTGCTTCATCTTGTTATGATCTTTGTACTTCAGCGTGTTTTCTTTTTTTTAATACTTTATGTTCTAGGGTACATGTGCACAACGGGCAGGTTTGTTACATATGTATACATGTGCCATGTTGGTGTGCTGCACCCATTAACTTGTCATTTACATTAGGTATATCTCCTAACGCTATCCCTCCCCCTCCCCGCTCCCCACAATAGGCCCCGATGTGTGATGTTCCCCTTCCAGAGTCCAAGTGATCTCATTGTTCAATTCCCACATATGAGTGAGAACATGCAGTGTTTGGTTTTCTGTCTTCTGATAGTTTGCTGAGAATGATTGTTTCCAGCTACATCCATGTCGCTGCAAAAGACACGAACTCATCCTTTTGTAGGGCTGCATAGTATTCCATGGTGTATATGTGCCAAACTTTCTTAATCCATTCTGTCACTGATGGACATTTGGGTTGATTCCAAGTCTTCACTATTGTGAATAGTGCCGCAATAAACATACGTGTGCATGTGTCTTTATAGCAGCATGATTTATAATCCTTGGGGTATATACCCAGTAATGGGATGGCTGGATCAAATGGCATTTCTAGTTCTAGACCCTTGAGGAATCGCCACACTGTTTACCACAATGGTTGAACTAGTTTCTAGTTTAACATGTCCCCCCAACAGTGTAAAAGTGTTCCTATTTCTCCACATCCTCTCAGGCACCTGTGTTTCCTGACTTTTTAATGATGCGCATTCTAACTGGTGTGAGATGGTATCTCATGGTGGTTTTGTTTTTCCTTTATGGTTTTTGATTACTTGTTTATTTTTTATTCATTATGACTGTAAGTTTCTAGGGTACATGGTGCACAATGTGCAAGGGCTTTGTTACATACGTAATACATGGGCTATGTTGGTGTGCTGTAGCCCTCTAACCTCGCTTCATTTCATTAGTATATCTTTCTAATGCTAATCCCTCCCGCCTCCCCCTTCCCACAATACCCACGGTGTGTGATGTTCCTTTTCCTGTGTCCGTGTCAAGTGATATTCATTGTTCAGTCTCCCCACCCTAATGACTGAGATATGCCCGGTGTTGGGCTTTTCTGTTCTTGTGATAGTTTGCTGAGAATGATGCGTTTCCAGCCTTCATAACCATGGTCCTACAAAGGACGTGAACT